TAAGCATATTTTTTTTTATTTTTTTTTTGCATTCTGAAACTACTTTATTATGAACATAAATTTCTTAACCCTGTATTTTTCCTAGAAGCATAATACGTTTCATTCTAATGTTATTAAATTCTTTGTGGTTGTTTAGTTGTTGTTTTTGTTGATTTGTTGCTTTGTTGTTGCTTTATTTTATGAACACGTTTTTGGCAATTTGTTTTTGCAAATTCTCTTTGGCATTTGAGGTTTCAGTTTGTTTTCATTTTGCTAATGTTGAACATGTTTTGCAAATATTGCAAAAAGCAACAAACGATAATTTTTGGCAATAGCTCAATGGAATGTACCCTACAAAGCTTATTTGCTGTTGTTTATTGTGTATGCCTCTCAGCTTTTTTAGATCTTAGATTTTTAAACAATATTTTTAATTAATGAAACTAAATAATAACTAACCAAAACACACATACCCACACACACAAATTAACCGCTCGTAAGCATATGTATGTGAGCGGCTTACCATGCCCTACCACAAATGTAGTGGCATGAAAAAAGAAGACAATGAAAGCTTGTTTGCCTTTGTAAATTTAAATGCACTTTTTTCTTTCTTGTGCTTTTATTTATTATTTTTGTGTTTGGCTTAATACATTTTATATTATTTCCTATTTTGATCGTTATTATAACTTTTATGGGCTTTACTTATAGGAATTTTGAATTGAATCATAAATTTTTTTTTATTTTTCGCATTTATGCTTCTTATTATTAATTTTTTTTTCCTTTTTTTTTTGTTTTTTTAGAAGTTGATAATAGGTAGGCGAGGTTTTGCAAAGGAAACTTTATTCGCAGAGACGCGCACAAAACACAAATAAGCACAAAACAAAATTACGCACGCTCCACACCTCTCCGAAGCATTTAGACAACAGCAGCAACAGCAACAACAACAACAACAACAACAACAACAGAAAACATGTATAACAAAAAGAAAAATAGACAAAAAAAATTTCTTTAATTTGGTCGTAATTTTATTACCCCGAAATTTTGCACAGGAATCATCAACTTGACTATTTTAGAGTAGCGACAACAACAAGAACAACGACGACGATATGAAGAGGAACGTCGAAGCCGGCAGCAGCATCGCAACTTTTAATGGTCTTTTGTAATTTTTGATTTCTTTCATTAGCATACGAATATTTTAAATTTATTAGTTTTAGGTAAGAGGAGCTTTGCCGTCATCCCCATTTATATTGCGTCGTATCCTTGATATACGAAGGCAGTGGTGCTTCATGCGCTCTTAATTGTTTATGAGTTCGCAATTATTTTTAATTTTGCTGCTTAATTTGCCTTAACACAGTTTTTGTATAATAATTACGAAAAAGCTTGGAAAAATTTATTCTTATTTAAAATACAACCGCCATTGTACGAAACGACGACGACGTCAAAAATTATGTCATTTTTATTATTCTTGCGTATTTTCGTTTCCCTTCATTATCAACATTATTTGTATTATTTGTATGTAGCAAATATGAATGAATTTCGCAATATTTGCCATATATATATATACATATTATATATAAATATATATATTGTATTTTTTTTTGTTTTTTTTTGTGTATGTTGTGTATTTGTGAAATGACTCCTTGAAACCGGTTTAACGAAAAACTTAATTTATGGAACTATTTTCACTTTCATAATAATGAATTAAACTACAGGAGCTTTTTTATTAACATTAAATCGTTTGTCATATGCATTGCGTCGCACCGGCTTTTTGCTTTGTTATAAACTTCTTCCTTATGTACTCTTTGCTTTGTGTTTGCCATGCTTTTGTGATAATTGTAAGCGTTTTTCTTTTGAACTTCAACGACTCTTTCTTTTTCTAATGTTCTAAACAAAATTTTAAATTAACTTTAATTAGAAATTTCCAATTGGAAAACAAAAAATTTATGCGGCGCCAAACACCGTACAAATCCACACACGTCCACGATTCGAGAGACTAAAAACGAGACTGAAAGTTTTCACATCTTTCTCTCTGGCAACTTCTGATTTTCGCAAACGCCATGTTACCATCATTCGATATGTATGTGCGTGTAGCACTTTAAATTTCAAATAAGAATATACATTTGATGAGTTCACTCATTTGCAAACATTTAAGCACGTTTGTTTTAATTAAAAAATTAATAGTTTAATAATAATATTTAAAAAAAACATATTGTATCGAACCTACATTTAAAACTAAATACCGCAACACTTAAATATATGGTTAAGTGCATTGCAATATTAACATAAACAAAGCTCAAATCATTACGCCTAAGATTGTTTTAAAAAATTTTCTTACACTGGCAACTCCCTTGCATTTTAGAAGAGAAATATAATTGCAAGAAATTTTAAAATCAAAAATGAATTAGAAGAAAAGCTTTGACAATAATGCTGCCACTTAACAAAAACTTCTACAAATTACGGTTAATATGTTTTTAAAAAAATATTTTTTTGAAATTTAAAAATTTGTTAGAAGTAATATATAATAATTAATCAGTATTGATAATAATAAAATTAAATTAGTTTTGGCGATAAAGGTATGCTTTCTTATAAGGACAAAGTCGTTTTTTTTTTAAATGTAGACGGTTTCAAATAGCAAAGAAAGAGGCTGACCATAAATAAATTAACTAAATTTTTGTGTTTGTGTTTTCTTGCTTTGCTATTCGAAACTCTCTATATGATAATAATATTAATTATTATTAATATTAATAATTAATTATTATATAGCAATAGTATGCATGTTATAAAGCAGGGCTGCCCCGACCAAATGCGATCGCGGACCGATACAAATCACTGAATAGGTTTCCCGGAGAAACATTAAAATCAGTCGATAATTTTAAATTTAATTTTATTAATTTTTCATTAATTTATCTTAAAATATTTTATTTTTAATGTAATGACTTACGGCAGTGTTTTGAGAACACTAATCATTTTATTAATGTTTTCCCCTATGGGTTACGTTATTGTGATATTACAGAAATTATTGTGTCTACGATGGAAGAAGTAAGAACGAGTGAAAAGGATATAGATAATTGACGTAAAAGGCTCTATGCTACAAAACTGGCACCTGGAAAGAGAATATTCAAAAAGATGTTTATGTGTAAGGTGACTATATAGCTGAGATGTAGGCGAGTGAATTTGGAGAGCTTCTTGTGTGTACGTATGGTCTCTATAAAATTTTAACAAAAATTAGTAAAAGTTACTTATTAACAATTTGAGTGTTTAATAATCGTTCTTAAGCATGATTGAATTAAATTTTAATATGATTTTTGACGGACTTTTTTTCATATCCGTTTTGAAGTTTTTTTATTGTCAAATCAGTAAGTCAATAATCACGCAAACCTATCTACTTACCTAAAGCACTAACAATACTTATAAACATTTGATAATATATAAACTATATTTTTAAAAGTTATATTGTTTTTATAAAATAACTTTTAAAAATTTATTGCCAATAGTTTAATTATTAATTAAATAATACATATTTTAAAAAAATTTTATAGTTTTTGAAAAATTATTTTATTTAAACCAATATTTCGATTATATTCTATAGCAATCTTCAGGGTACTTTATCTTCAGATAGTTCTTCTTTTAATAATTTAAAGCAATTGAAGAAAAATAGTTTAAATTTTTTTTAAGGTGATCCATACATCATTGAATCAGATGAACAGATTAATTAGTTTTATGAGGACTTTAACCACAAAAAATTAAGGATTACTTATTGGACTCTAAACGTTCTGGTAATTTAATTGAAGATGTCACTCTGAAAAATATTACAAATTGATTTAATTTGCCATAAATTAATGTTGCAAATAATCGCTAACATCGTAGAGATATTAAATGGATGTATACTTCATCCATAAATAAATACTTATAACGTATATATACGTATAAATAAATACTTGGCAAATTAGCGATAGAGTAAAGCACACTTTTAGATTAGTTGATGGGTTAAATTCACATCAAATTTTGTTTAGTAAGGGGGGGGAGGGGGGAATCCGCTTCATTCATTCAATCAAATGTTAATTTTGATAAAATGTCCACCTGGAACATTACAAATACAAAAGGAATTGTGAGAAGACCATAGCATATACAAAAAGGTACTGTTGATCTGGGGACTTTATAAAAACGTACTTTTTTTTGAAAATAACAATTTACAGAATTGCAAATTTTTTTTAAAGTAAAGTTGAAGTAAATCATTTCATAGTTTCAAATTGTTTGTAAAGATTGTGTCTTTTCGCCTTTATTTTCCATTTCATAACTTTATTCTACTCGGAGAACAATATATGTGATTTAAATAAGTCATTTGTAGAGAACATACCTTATGAAAACCGTGTATAGCTTAGTTTAATGTCTAACGCTCTGCCGTTTGCCTCGACCATATTTAAGCTCAGGATCATATACTAACAATATCCATCCAGGCAGAATTTTTACTTCACACGTTATGTCGACTTCCTTATACTTTCTTTCCATACATTTCATTTTACTAAATTCTCTTAAACTTTAATATCTGTTCTTAGTGGTAGAGGCAGGATTGTGCGAAGAACCGGGGTTTGCAATTCACTGAATTATTTATTAAAGTTCGATGATTATGTCAAACGGATTATATACTGGGAAGTATTTTGTATTTCAGTTTCTTCTTTGTGTAAACTAAAGTAATCATGAACAAATTTAATAACAGTTTAATTTATTTACACAACTTGTAAGTAAATAAATATATATATTCTTTAATGCTAACTCTTCTTCAGTATTTCTAAAATGTTAAATCAAACGGTCTAGTTAATATTAGTAATAAAATTTAAAAACAAAAATATATAAGAATTGTATAGTTGTTATTATCTGTAGATTTATATTGTCAAGGACGGTGAATCTATCTCTTATTGTCCAACCTGAATACGATACTATACTGTTACATGTAATGTAGTTAAGATCGATTTAACTTTCTCCAATTAATTTTTATTTTCAATAATATTTTTACAAGCAATACATTAAAATTGAATTCCAACAAATATTTAATAATTTACTTCAAAATTATTTTTCGAAATTAATGACTACATAGACAAGTACTGATGACTTTCAAAATAATTATTTAATTCTATTCAGTGTCAGAGCCGGAGTGTTCATTATGTTTAGATCTCTTATGTTTCTTCTTCATGTCATTTTGATTATCTGTATTGCTTTTCGTATCTGATTTATTTGATTTTTCATGTTCTTCAAGCTTGAGCAGTGTTTCCTTCTTTAGACGCTCCAATTCTTCAAGTTCGCGTGCAGTTTTCTCTTTCTCCATGTCATCTTGTCTTTGCTTTTCGGCTCGTTTTTCTTCCTCTCTTGCAATTTCTTTACGCATGTGATCTTTAAACATCTGTAAGGCTTCAGCACGTTTTTGCATTTTTTCTTTTGCGTTCTTATCCTTATCTTCCACATTTGAAGACGTTGATGGTGGTATACTATTTTTCTTTGGCGATGACTTATCAGTTGATTTACGATTTCTATCATCAGACACGGTACGCCGTGGTGATCGAGAGTTTGAACGACCTCTTTTTTGGCGACTAGATCTCGGAGCGCTACCACGTTCCCTACTTCGTTCCTTGCTACGACGACTTGTTTGATCAAACCTCGAACGACCAGAATCGCGACGAGGAGAACGAGTGCGTGATCTCGATTTTGATAATGAAGCTGATCTTTTGCGATTGCGATCACGGGATCGCCTTCTATCCACAGAAGAACGTCTACGAATTGGTGAAAGAGGATAACGGTTTCTATATCTGTCAGCTGAACGAGACCTCATACGTCGATCCATAAATGGGTTACCGCCACGCCTGCCACGAAAATTACGTCGTGGAGGTGATCTGAAACTTTGATTTCTCATTGGATAGCGATCACGTCTATCACGTATGGGTGAGCGTCGTCGATATGAGCGAGATCGCGAACGCGAGCGTGAACGAGAGCGTGTACGTGAACGTGAACGTGTACGAGAACGAGAACGTGAATGAGTCTTAGATCGACCACGATTTCGCGAACGTTCCTCACTTTTTTGTAACTTTTCGTGTTCAGCAATTTTTTCAGTTACTTTTTTAATTTCTTTGTCTAAAGCTTTTTCCATTTCGCGTTGCGATAATTTCTCTTTTTCTTTCACATTTTTATCAGCTACTAATAACGACTGTTGAGTATCATTTTCACTCTCTGACTGTTGCTCATAATCGAGTGCGTTCATATCCACGGACTTTCTGCGTTTTGATGAAACGTTTTGATCAGTATTATCTTCTTTACGCCGTTTCTCTGATGTTGTCTTATAACTACGTTGTTTCTCTTCTACATGCCTGTCGCTGGTTTTCTTAGATTTCTCCACCCTTTCTGGTGAACCAACTGTTCCACCATATGTACTTGCATGCGATAATTCGAAAAATGATTTCTTTGGATCTTTAGACATTTCTTCATGACGTTTTTTACGTTCAATTTCACGACGTTTGATTTCCTCTTCGCGAAGTTTCTTCTCTTCTTCCAACCTCTCAAGATCAGAAAGTTTTATGGTACGATTTTGGGCACGCTTCCAATGTGGCGGCGTAATACTGCGGGACCGACTTCGTGAAGGTGTACGAAAACGCTAATAAGAAAATTTAATTTATTTTATATATTTTATTTTGGGTTTGTTATATTCTTACAAATACTCCACGGCCTTTGATAATACGTCCACTACGTGACTTTGGCACACGACTCTTTGACCAACCAAACGCATTTCTGTTATCTCTACCCTTGCTTTCATAGTTATCCTGTCTTATTTCTCTTTCTCGTGAACGGTCGCTTTTTTCTTTACGCAATAGAAATTTATTAGAAACCTAGAAATACATAAAAACATATACCCAATTGAATACAATATGTATTTTAAAAAGTGTACTTCAGGTATTTCGTCAGGATCAATTTTAGTTACAGTAACTAAAGGATGTATTTCACCTTCATCGACTCCCTCTGAACTAGTCGGAACTACATTTTTATTTTCAGAACTAAATTATAAAATAAAATATACTAATTAGAGACCAAAAATATTTTGTTTAAGTATTACCCTGCTCTTTCTTTTGAGCGTTTACGATCTTTCTTTTTCTTCTTTTCCTTTCGTTTGTCACGCTTTTCCACCTCCGATTCAGATTCATTATCAGAAGAGGCTCTTTTCTTTTTCTTCTTTTCCTTTTTCACTGAAAATAAAATATAATAACAAATTAGCAAAGAAAACCTTAAAAATTTAATTTTTACAAATATTTTTTAATACATCATTTATTTAATTAATGAATTCATAAATTAAAAATATTCCACTACAAATAAATCGAATTAAATTTTCATTAGCTTAAATATCAAAGTAGTTGCTAAAAAAACAGGCAGAAGTGCCAGCTAATAGTATCAAAAATGGGTCGAAGGGGTAAAATGGGTAAAGCGAAAACATAAAAATACACCGTTAGACTTGAAAATTTTTAAATAAAATCTCTGTATACATATTATCAATGTTAGAAAAAAAATTAAGTGCGTCCCAGTAATTACAATTTAAAGACTCATCAAAAGAAGATTCCTAGAAATTGGAAAGCAGATAATATTATCTACACAACAATGAAGGATATAGAAATGTGTTAAAAATGCAAATGTTATATAAAACGTAATGTTAAATGTTATAAATAAATAATCGAGAATGTTGTTTTAGCCTTCGGGGATCTGTAGACATTGCATTATTTTTAAGTAATCTCTTGCCGTTTATAAACAATAGCTTGATTCCGCTATCCGTTAACTTTACAACTTCGATAGATTTATAAACAGTTAAGAAGTGGAATGAAGAACATTTTTTTTTTCAAATCGGAGTAATAACGATATTTATTGAATATTCCAATATGGTTCAAGGTACAGGTAGGTGTTGCACCTGATTGACTTAGTGGCAGAATAGAAAGAAAAGCCGTCCAAGATACAGGCTTTTCTCCTAAAGCAGATAACATGAAGGTAATTACGAGGAATACTTGGATTAAGATGTGTATAGGTAATGGTTGTGTGAGAGGAGTGACGATTATTAGCGTGTGGGTGTGGATTGGAGATGGGAGATTTAAATTGAAGCAAACAAGAATTAAGACAGAAAAACCTAGCCACTTTTATGGAGCGTGTCCAAAGTTCGATTGAACTAAGATTATGTATGTGCTGCGACAGGCAAACAGTTCTGCGACATCATGTAGAGTAGGGGTGCAATTTAGGTACACATTTCGAATGGAATTGACTCGGAGAAACTCGCCGAGCGCCATTCAACACTCTTAAAACGGACTACTCTGAGAAGTTCGTGTTTGTTTTGATATTTGTGCCTATCGATGATCTATATTAGTGTTTCCGTTACCTGTTTCAAAAGATAACCTTCAAAGATAGTCAAAATATTGAATTTATTAATAACTTAAAAAAAATTAAGTGTAAAAATAATTATTTACAAATAATTGCATATACAAAATAGTTCCAAGGCCACTGATGATAGGTATTGGGTAGTTCTTGAAACAGCTGTATGTTCAGCTCAAAAGTCAATTAATTAAAATAATATACATAAAAAGAATTTTGAACGTAGTTCACTATTTTTCGAAACCTCTGTATAATTAAATTGAACCAAAATGTTTTGTTTTAAATACAAATCATTTTAATCCAACAGCCTAAAAAAATATTAAAATTAAAAGAAAAATATTTAGTGTGTTTTACAAGGATCGGTACGACTATCGTTTAAGACGAAAATACAATATTTTACGGGCCAGTGGTGCTAAGAACATAGATCGGTGGATGTGATCTACACGACAGTCAACTTTTAATGATAATTTTGCTATTTTTGACCATTTTGTTATATTGTTTAGTATTATTAGTTTAAGCTACTGTGGGTCTTTTTATTTGAATTCCCAAGAAATAAACCAGAGTAGCCTAAATTAATATTGTTTTAAAATTTTTTCTTAACAAATAAATAAAAATTAGTACATAGTAATTACAAATTAAAGCTTACCTTTAACTTGTTTAACCAATTCCCCACATTTAACAATGACTACATCTTGCAGCGGACGCGAATTTCTGTCCACAGGCAACTCTTCTAATTGACGTACAATATCTTGTCCATTAATAACATGTCCAAAAACAACGTGAATGCTAAAATGAAAAATAAAAGATAAAACAAATTAATCATAAATATTCTGGAAGCTTAAGAGCTAAGTTTACTTACTTGTCCAAGTGTGGAGCTGGCTGTGTAGTACTATAATAAAAAACATAAGAGAAAAATATTCTTTACACATTGAATACATCTTGTTGAGGAACTGATTTTTTTTTTAATTTTTGTGCAACAAAGTAAAAATTTCTATTTGGTACTAAATGGCTATCAGCTTCAATCCAACATTGGCCAATGAAGAAATTGTGTTGGAGTAGCTGATATACAAACACACTAACTGGTTGAATATATCGGCGGCAGCATTATCAAACAATATTGTGAATTAATTCCACAGCAAAACAAATTATCAAATTGTTAAATAGCGTTTTTTGCACTCCAAATGCAAACAGATGCCGCACCAAATCTTTAATCTCAGGATTAACTTTTCATTTGGGTTGTTTAAGCTATATGATAACAAATTAATGACAATAATAAAATATATAATATACAAACATTCATTATTCAATTAAATATTAACAAATTATAAAAGCTGCAAGCAAAGAATTATGTTTATGTTTTCATTTTTATTATTAGATTTTTTTTCTTTTTGTTAATTTTATTACCATACGGCATCCAAGCATTTTCCATACTTACATAAAAAACTGCGATCCATTTGAGTTTTTACCACGATTGGCCATGGAAAGCAGAAACGGTTTGTCATGCTTCAAATCAAAAGTTTCATCTGAAAATGCAAAGATTGATTAAAAATATTTTAAGATTTTACAATATGTATTATATCAATAAATATTTATAAAATATAAGTAGAAAGTAATTATATCCAACATAAGTAGGGTTTATGCTTGGTTCCAAGAACGGCTGGATCTACGTCCAGTAACCACAGAGTTGAACTGACTAGTCTAGTTCGACGACTAAGTGCCGAGTGGAACACTCCCAAAGATCTACACAAGCAGATCTCTGCAGGTTACAACAACAAGGCTTACGTGTCAGTCACTCATATTGTCTTATCACTTTATGTGGGCGGATACCAGAAATACTTTTTTTTCGCTCTCAATTGTTGAAGTTGTATTAAATTCTTATAAAACATGATATAATATCATATAATAATAAATAATATTATATTATGATCATATAATAATAAATATTAATAATGTAATATAAATATTATTAAATTAATATCATATAATAATTAATATTATACTAATACCATATAATAAAAAATAATATATTATTATCATAAAATAATAAATAATATTATATCACTGAACGGAGGAAATTATTTCAAAAAACAATGTCCTTCAGCAGCGGACTAAGCGGAAACTAAATGCCGCAAACAACTTCCGTTAGGCGATCTAACGTTTTCATAAATAGTAAAAACTTCATGGGTTACTTTAGCATATATAGGCCATATGTATCTACTAAGTTAATTTATTTTATATAAATTTATTAATTTTACCTTCAAAAGTTCCACCGTAAATTGACTCTCCACCAGTACCATTACCCGCGGAAAAATCTCCCGCCTGTATCATGAAGTCCTTTACCACACGATGAAATATAACATTTTTATAATTAAGTTCTTTTCCTGTTGTAAGGCCAAAGCCCTTTTCACCGGTACAAAGTGCTCGAAAGTTCTCAGTGGTCTTCGGAGCCACATCATTAAATAACTCGAACACAATTCTGCCTATGTTTAGTCCACCTAGTGAAATATCGAAAAAACAACGTGGCCGCGTTACATTGCCCACCGTCATTGTGTTAACTTATTTTATAAATTATGACTTTCCAATTTTTCTCCGTTTACTTTGCGCACAACTAAAACAGTGTTTTTGATTAATAATAAAATCTGCACTTAGGAACTAATTTTTCATTCCAAATAGTCTTCCATATTGAATGCTACTTCAGACAGTGCTGCCACTAAGAAGGAAAATCTTAAAAAAATTAGATAACCATAAAAAACAAAAAGAGAGCGAGTAACCAGCAAACGACGTGTGCGAGTTAGGTTAAGTTGATGCTAAACTAAATAGGAGATTTTTTGGGATTTTTTGCACTGCACACATTTAGTCATTTATCAACACGTATCGACACATCACTACATTATCGGCATAACTTAGAATTTCCCTTATTTAGAACGCAACGTAGCCTATCTCGCACACGTCCCAAATAACGTTTTAAGGTCGTGTGCGAGTTAGGCTAAGTTGCGTTCTAAATAAGGGAAATTCTAAGTTGTGCCGATAATATAGTGATATGTCGATACGTGTTGATAAATGGCTAAATGTGTGCAGTGCAAAAAATCCCAAGAAAACTCCCATTTGGTTTAGCATCCACTTAGCCTAACTCGCACACATCCTAAAAATATTTATTCTTTAATTAAAAAAAAATATATATATATATCAAATCAATATTATATCTGCTCTAGAATTTAATAGCTTTTAGTTAAAGAATAAATCTTTTTCAAATGCTATTTAAATTAATATTATATATATATATTTTTTTTTTATAGATACATAAAATATATACAATACTTATAATATGCATTCATTTTCCTGGTAGGAACCTTACTAATCATTCTCGTTGCTCTTAAATGCTGTTCACACTGACAAAACATGATTATTGATTTTAACATAAATGAAAATCATATTTTCATATTTCTTCCGTTTATTTTATATTTAATTAATAAAATTGGTTTGTATATAAAATACTGCAATACAAAAATCAAAGCAATAGTGTAAAATTTACTTAAATAATATGTCAAAAAAGTTTATACTATGACTATCAGTTGAAAACTCAAAATTTCAAATGCAACCTTGTGTTTGTAGTTAGATTCATTAATAATGATAATCGATCACTATATTTGTTACTGATTTTAATGATTTTAATTTATAAACTTACTTGAAAGCAACAACAAATGTAGTCATATTATTGTGTATATAAAATGGCACTAATGCCATATGCACATTACCAACTTTAGCTGTAAAAAATTACTAAAATTAGAACCTATTATATTATTTCGACTTATCATTTTCACAGTTGTTGCTTCTGTTATTTTTTTTATTTACATTTTAAGTTTGTTTATATATTTTTGTTAACACCTTTGATATATTGGGTTACTTTATATACAGATTCTCGACGAAATTGAAAACGGTATGCCTTTTTAAGATTTTTATATCAAAAATTTATTAATAATATGATATTTTTAAAGTTATATTCCAGAAAAGGTATTTAATGAAGGTAACTTTCAATGAACGCCGAACTGTTCAACTATTGACTCTTTTTCAAAGAGAAATTATTTATTTATTTATTATTTATTTAACTAACTAATTTGGGAACTAATTTCGTGTTCGAACTCACCAATTTTAGTGGTTGACCTGCAGCATCAAAGTTCATAATATAAAAATGATATGACGGAACATTTTTTATTGAACAACAAATTTAATTAAACTTCTACAGAATTTTATTTCGTTAAGACGCAAAAAATGTGTTTCTTCGGCGTGGCAACTCTTAAGTGGTGAATAAAACGAGAGTTGGAAAACAAATTAATCGCGGTAGTATATAAGGTGTGTTTCCGTATTATTCATGTTTAAATGTAGTAACGTTAAAATTAAAAATATAATATTTTTCCCTGAAAACAAGTAGTTTGTGCACAAGTACGGAAACCTTTTCAAGAAAAAAACTATTCTTTTAGTTTTTATTCCAATAGACCATTCATTTATATAATGAAAAAATATAATTTTTATATTTATTTATTAATAAGATAAAAAATAAAAAAATTAAAATAAATATTTTTTCATATTATGTAAATTTAGTTTATTTATTTAATTTTGATCTTAATAAACATGCAATGTTTTATCTACATCATGAGTATAATCGCTCTAGTATGTTTGAAGAGGATTTTAAATTATTAGGAGTTTTTCAATTTTTTTAAATGAACAAATTTAATAAATGCCAAATCTCTTCCGTAAATTATATTTACTAATTATTAATTATATCTATTACTAATTATACCATTCATTTATATAATGAAAAAATATAATTTTTATATTTATTTATTAATAAGATAAAAAATAAAAAAATTAAAATAAATATTTTTTTATATTATCTAAATTTAGTTTTTTTTTATTTAATTTTGATCTTAATAAACATGCAATGTTTTATCTACATCATGAGTATAATCGCTCTAGTGTGTTTGAAGAGGATTATAAATTATTACGAGTTTTTCAATTTTTTTAAATGAAAAAATTTAATAAATGTCAAATCTCTTCTCTTATATTTACTAATTATTTTTTAGGTATGAAAACACAATTATCTTTTTTAAAAAACAATTTTACTACTAATAAGTATGTGGACAAACCTATTTAAGATTCTTAAGGGCTAATATGATTTATTATTTAAGGAGAATAAGTTTTACTCTAACAGTACTTGACCATTAAAACCTTATTCACACTGCACAAGTTATTTGTATAATTTATATGAACACATAAAATAGCAGATTATTTATTAAATTTTAATCAGCTATTAAAATTAATTTGCTGCTAAATCCTCATAAACAAATTCTGATAGACCTTCTTCATAATAGCGCTATTAGACATGCGATTAAGTTAAATATGCAATTGCACAATGTGATGATTACTTGGTTTTAAGTGGAAAGTCGTAGTGTAACACTTAAACCCACTAAACACAACTCTTGGAAAAGTAAAATACCATTTTCATAAACTGTGGTTAAAATACTTAATACTGTGTTTAGACTTACAATGACTGAACTTTATTAACATAGCACAATTTTGTATGAAAGATTCGATTTAAATGCGATAGTGTAAACATCCAGTAAATACGATATTTTTCCACAATCCTTTTTTTGTTTTTAAACAATTTATTTTTTCTTTGGTATATTGGTTTTATACAAATAATTGTAAAATATATATTTTATACAATAATTGCACAGGAATAAACTTAAACATAAAACTTTGATTATAATGGCAAAAGTATTTTGTGTGATAAATTGTGTACTTAATAGCGTATAAGAATGGTTAATATAAGATAATATATTGAATAGTTTTAAGAGTCCGCAGTTGTCCTTTATCTTCACCCAGATCATGAAATGTGGTAAAAATGTGTAGAAGCACAAAATAACAATAACTCCAGCCCTCCTACGCTCATTTGAGAGAACAAATAATACTTATTTTGCTGGAATATCGCGTATGGAATAAAATTCAAATGCTTATGTCCACTTACTCCACTGTGACTGATTTAGCCAGGTTACGCGGACAATCGACGTCACAACCACGCAGTACTGCAATATGGTAGGATAGCAATTGCATGGGTATTACAGTTAGAATGCCCTGAAGACAATCGACGGTGCCAGGTATTTCCAAACTGCGAGAGGAGAAGCTTTTTGTTTCATCATCCCCTTCTTGGCATATAATAATCGGTCTGCCTTTACGCGAAGTGACCTGTTGTAGGGCATTCATGCATTTGGTATAGACAGGATCTCGTAGTACTATCATAAGCACTGGCATTTCTCGATCGACCAAAGCAAGTGGTCCATGCTTTAGTTCACCAGCAAGTATACCTTCGCTGTGCATGTACGTCAATTCCTTAACTTTGAGTGCACCTTCAAGACAAGTAGCAAAATTATAACCACGACCCATAATCAGTAGCGATTTGTGTTGGTAGAGGTCCTTCGCCAACTCCTGAACTTTGGTGTCAAGTTGTAGAACTTTGCGTATTTGATCTGGTAAATTGAAAAGACCATTGATAATTTCCAAGCGCCGCTGTTGCAGAGAGAGTCTGTCTTCAGACATAACAAGACCAAACATGACCAAAGAAATGAATTGTGAGGTGTATGCTTTGGTTGAAGCCACGCCAATCTCGGGTCCAGCATTTATGTGTACGCCACAGTGAGACTCACGACAAATGCTGCTACCGACGGTGTTGGTTATGCCAACAATCAGCGCGCCACGTTGTTTACAGTAACGCAAAGCCATCAATGTATCTGCAGTTTCACCTGATTGCGATATAAAGAAACAAACATCATCCCGAAAAATGGGCGTATTACGATCCAGAAAATCAGAGGCCAGCTCCACAACTACTGGCAATTCTGTAAGCTCCTCTAGCAGCTGACGTGTTGCTATGGCACTGTGATATGAGGTGCCACAGCCAATAAGCATTAGTCGACGGCAACGCCTTATTTCTGGTATATACTCCTTTATGCCACCCAAAACAATATTCTTCGTTTCGAAAAATACGCGTCCACGCATTGTGTTTACAACCGACTCCGGTTGCTCGAAAATTTCCTTTTGCATGAAGTAATCGTAGTTACCCTTCATGATTTGTTGAATTTCCACCTTCAATGTAGTTATTTCTCTAGCGTGTGGTTCATCCAACACCTTATTCAAACGGTGAATACTTAATGCACCATCTTTCACAGCAGCCACATCATCATCTTCCAAATAAATTACCCGATTTGTGTGCTCGATTATGGCCGACGCATCCGAAGCAAAGAAGTACTCCACTTCCTTGTTTTCCAATGGCTGAAACTCGGACGTGCTGTCTGAACGTGAAACTAAAGGCAACGGTTGCAAGGAAGGTCCATGTGGGCGATGTTCTTTAGCGTATAGTATGGGTATGTGATCGGTAGCCAATCTTGTTTTGGTGCGTATACCAACGAGCAGTGGTGAACCTCTTCTTGAAGCCACACACTCGCCAGGAAATATATTTGATTTAAATGCAATTGCAAAAGCGCCTTCCAACTGCTGTATGGCTTGCTCCACCAACTCGCGAAATGAATAATTTGGATGTTGCAACCATAAATGATGTACCAGTTTGGCAATTACTTCAGTATCAGTTTCAGATTCAAAAACGTAGCCACGTTTCTCAAGCAATGTTTTCACGTCTTTGTAGTTGGTGATGATGCCATTGTGCACAACCACAAAACTATTGTTTACATCGGAGCGCTGTGGATGAGAGTTCAATTCGCAGGGTACACCATGCGTAGCCCAACGGGTGTGTGCAATACCGACATGTGTTAGTACAGGTTCTTCACTGTAACGTGCGTCTTCAAAATCTGTTAAATAAAAACTTTTACTTAATACACAAAAATGGGTGAAATAGTGGAAACTTACTGCTGCCTATTGCATCTTCAAGAACTTTTACTTTTCCACAACGTTTTACCATTATAATATCATTACTGTCGACGGCATCAATAGCAACGCCAGTGGAATCATATCCACGGTATTCCAAACGCTTTAGACCATTCACCAGCAAATCCAACACTTCCTGCCGTGTTTTTGGCGTTAGGTAATTTAAGTAAGCAAATATTCCACACATTTAGTTATATTAATTTTAATATCTTTTAAGAATTTAATGATTTGGCACCAACTCTATGTATAATATATATAATCGAGCTATTATTTATCGCCAATAATGCCACGTCTGTTCCGTTTTTAAGTCTGAGTAATTGTGTCTGAAGAATTTTATCTACCCCACTAGTCACCTCAGCTGATCATTCAATTAAATGTAAACAAATGCATTGACGATCCACAACGTATAACAGTTGAAATGTATGATAAAACAAAATATTCACAATAGAATTTGAATAGAATCCACAAATACTTAATTATATGACGTGTCGCATTTAGATTGAATATGAAAAGCATACACGACATCCCTAAATTCAAATATAAGTATATTAACCTTTATAGATTCATTTTTAATTTATATTAATTGCACTAAACAAATTAGTTTATCTTAATATTTTTTTTAATTTTTATATATGACTATCGTACTAGTGCCTTATTTAGGCACATTTAACAAAACAAATTTAGGATTTTTGCTTATAGAAAAATATTAAGACAATTTTTTTTTATTTATATGCTTTATTGTTGATTTAGTTTTTATATATAAATAAATAAATGTAAGTTTTGTGTTTATTGTATTATCGAATTCAGTAGATGTAGTGCTTTTAGATATAACTATTTTCACCAATTAATGCCAGTAACCTATTCACCACTTTCTTAGGAGCATGATATGGTTGTAGTCACATTACGGCCATTGTTGTTGCTTTCAATGCAAAATGAAAATTTGACACTAGCAGCTCATTCATTTTGTATTGAAACCACCAACAATTGTCGTGACGTCACTGAAATTATAGCATGTCCCTTAATAATGTCCCGCAATAATGGATTTTATCAAATCGGTTATATTGAGCTCCTTTTTGCACTATGTTTTATGCAGATATAACTTAGTTCTCAAGATAATGTATTTTAAAATGGTGAAGTAATTATGTCAAAACTCTTTTACTGTTCACATGACTAATAAAAACTAAACACGAATTTTTTTTTATTTTTTATTTGACTGTTGTCACATGGTAGAAGTGCAGAGAACTATCAAACAGTTTTGTGATATTTTACATTATGTTTTATAATTATTAATTTGTCAAAGATTTAGTGCTAATGTGGTAGTAATTTAAATTATTATTAAATTACTAATTCGGGAGTAGATCTGAAGGCTTAATTCTATTAAGTCTCCTCAACAGGCCAGATCTATTAGACAGATACCTGTCTCGTTTGAGGGCATGATATATGACATATAGTAAATAAAATCGATGATAAACACACAAATAACACTAACAACTTAATCCAGATCAAAAGTTAGATCAAATTAGGTTATAACGGGGATTAGTTGAATCCACTTAGAGGTTAAAAACCTTTCAGATCAGCAATTCATGACAGCTGACTCCTCCCAAGTGAATGGATTATAAAGAAATTAACTAATCAGAAAACAGGTGTTAGTGCGAAAGAAATGGTCTCAATAAAGGTGATCATATAATATCAGATCGGCAATTAACGACAATTTACTCTTCCCTAGATATTAGTCATGGTCTATTAGATATAATAGACCATTTATTAGAAATAAACTAATCAGTCATGGTCCCAATAAAGGTGACCTTGTATATATGTTAAAATTCTTATTATTGTACTCAAAATTTGTGTGTATAAATATTATATTAATATTTTTATTAATACATATTATATTATTATGTATAAATATTTTCATTACATATATAGAGTTTAAATATTTTAAACTAAACTTTTTTAAAAAATCGTGTTAATGCATTTAAGAACATATAAATAAAATATAGCTATAAAACAATAAATTAAAATATATATAAAACAATATAATAAAACAAATATGTGCTATCTAATTGTCATATTTTTGTATTATTTTATATATAATATATATTACTTTTATTTTTTTCATATGTGTATTTTATAACACTTTAATATTATTTAACTCATTTTTCTATAATTATATATTATTAAGTTAACTTAAAATAAATTCCAATTCAAATTAAAAATATTTAAAATGCTTTTAATAGTTTTTTTACACAATTCGTTTATTTAAATTTTTACATCATAATATATTTTTCATAACTTTTGGAATATTGTTTTTATTATTCTTTTTATGATCCACAAAATTCACAATAACGAAAAGAAAATAAATAAGTTGAGAACTGTCATCTTTCTTTTCGAAGGAGTTCGAACGGTGTGGAAACCACATGTTTTGAGTTTGTGATAAATTTCTAGTAAATTATGGTGAAAAGTGTAGCAAATAAATGAAATTTGTGTGATTAAAAAATTGGTTTATATCCATTTATTGAAATAAATACAAATTTTCTGCGTTAATTGCTAAAAATAACGAAAAATCGCATTGATAAAAAACTCCGTTGTCTTCAAACGACATTCGCATTGTCAAAGTAACAAATTTTATTCTAAACGTCTTTCCTTTCTAACACAGTGACATTTGTGTATTTGTGTGTAAAAACAGAAAATACGGCGAAATACGCGATAAAATAAACCGCAATAAGGAAAAGCGACTCGTAAAAGAAATTTGAAATTTATTTTAATTTTAACTGGTGTGTATTACAAAATAAATATAATTAAATTGTTTTTTTTTTTTTTATTTTTTGCTTCTATATTATTTGTACAATATAACCTTTTGCTGTTGCCAGCTGATGAAGGTGCTAGAATCGTGTATTACTACCAGTGTTGCATAACAAAACCCTATATTCGAAATTGTTTTTAACAAACAAAATAAATGTATTAAATTAAATATATATTTATGTTTAAAAGTTTTAATAAATTTTGCAAATTTAGTTTGGCATGTTCTTGGATTTTTATTTTATTAATGCAAATGCAAATGCAAATCAGAACGACGTTGTTGTAACTTGTGCTGCTCGCACACATAAGCAGTTCACCGAGCATTACTATTTTTTGTTGTATGTTTTTATTCAATATTCGTTAGTGTGGGGCAAATATTGTGTTCCATACATAACCTCAATTACTTCCTATTCTTGTATTTCATACAAATCGTGCGTTATGTGCAACTAAAATACATAATAATAATCAAATTGAATGAGTTATTAAAGCAAAAAATTATACACAAATATTGTAATTATAATTAGAAAAGGTTTTCGATTTTATAAAAAATAAATTTTTCACTATAGTTTATTTTTTTTTTTTTTTTTTTATTTCGTTGGTTTTGCAAAAATGAAAAATTAATTCAAATGAAAAAATTTATTATTCCTTATAGTGTGTGCATAATATTATTAATAAATTTTTGTTTTTCTTTACAGTGTGAAATTAACAAAATAACATATAAACGTTTATTGTCTATTTCTGGGCAAGGAAGCATCAAAGAGTTTCCGAGACGTATTAGAACGATTGGGAGGAGGTAACGTAAAGCGCAAGTTATACGCACGTTACAGCACTCCTACAACTGAATTCATCGACAAGTTATGTCAACAAAAGAAGAGATTTTACCAACGGCCGGATCAGTACCGGCTAATACTGAAGTAACTAACGCTACTACTGCAACCGCAACTACTGCAACCGGTACTGCCGCCAGTAAATCGTACGCCAACGTTTTGCAGAAACCAGAAAATAAAGAAAATGAAACCAGTAGTGCAATTGTAAATTCTGTTAGTTTGGATAAGGACAATAAGGATATTAAGGATAATAAAACGGCTGTTAAAACTATTAAATCATGGCGAGAAGAAATTGCAGTTGGCACTACAACCACTCTTGCGGATAATCAGCAAGCAACTACCACGGATGGTTCGACTGCTGCTGCTGCTGCGGTGGCTGGTGAAAAACGTGCGGCAAATGTGGACATAACAGCTGAAAATTCTTCTGAAGTTGATGACAATACTGATTTCGTACCGGTTGTGTCTCATCATAGGCGTGAGCGCAAGAAGCCACGTAAGGACAAACCAAAAGAACGAAACAGTAATAATGGCGAGAGGAATGCTGGTAATGGTAATAGGAATAATGGTGGAAATGTTGGAAATGGTGGTGGTGGTAATGGCGGAAATGGTGGTAATAGAAGAAGCAATACTAATGGAGAAAAAGATGAAAATAATGGCGAAGGTAAAACTGAAAATAAACGATATAATCGAAGGCATCGTGGTGGAGGCGAACGTAAAGATGGTCAAAATGCTGGACCTAATAGGAAATCTAAAAAAGAACGTAAGGAGACATCACCCAGTGCTAGCGCTGATACTGCTAGCAGTGGAGTCGAAGCGAAATCAGCTGAAGGTGATACACAAACTTCAAGCGCACCCAATGCTGCTGCAACCACACAACAGAAAAAATTTGTAGCTGCACCGCCACCAAAAGTTAATGCTTGGAAGGTAAGTGCAACCATTATTTATTTATCGATTTTAAGACAGAAAGAGTTAGTAATTCGGTATAGTTATCGACAGGACATCAGTTGTAATTTGAGTCCATAAAATTTCACATTTTGTTGAGGAAATATTTGAGTTTAAAATGTACTAGTTTTCTTTTTTTTGTTTATAAACAAAATTTTAGATAATGCCATTTCTACAGTCGTAAAGACTATGCTAGGAATTAAGTCTTTCTAGTCTTTGTACTATTCAAGTGAAAATAGTTGTGAATAGAGTGAATATCTGCTGTTAGTGGTATGACATAGAGCATGTGAATACATGTGGTAATAAGGAATGGATGAGATGAGTGGATAGGTTTTAATTGAAGCTAGTCTGAGTCGAAGCGGAGGAACCTCTTCACTACAGTTGAAGCCAAACATCATAGGTTTTCTTCACGTTGCCTGATAATGATTCATGCGTTAAAAATGTTAAGCGTTTCAATCTGTTTCCACTCCAAGAGTACTACAGTACATAAAGAAGAGAAAGTAAAAATTTCTCCAATAAATGTTATATATATCGGTTGCAACAATGATATTAATTTCGGATGGGATAGTGTGTATTTTGTACCGGTTTCAAGATTAGTTTAGATTACAGATTAATAGTATAGATCACCGATAAAAATATATGAGAAATAATATTTGTCCAGCGTTTGAAAATCAATTTAAATCCAATAATGAATCCTAGAAATTCTTATAGGATTAATGGATACCTTTGTTAATTAGAATTAAAATGATCCAGTAAGAAAAATTGTTCATGTTCCTTTTAATTATATAAATCAGAAATAAATCTATATGGGATAAGGTCTTAAAGTTGAGGATCTAAGGTCTTAAAGTTGAAAAAAATATACAGAAATATTTGGACCCTATCGGGTTTATCAATATCATCATTTGTTTTGTGGAGTGAAGCCTGAATGCTTCAAAAATAATACCAAGAGGAAATTAAAGTTAGGTTTGGTATAATTACAGTCGGTGTTCTTACCTCATAAATCTTTTGTCTTGGACGTCCATGACGTCAGTGTCAGTCAGTGTTTTGGTTTAATCTGTTTGTAGCAAACGTTGTATTCGACAAACTTCAAGCATGAAAAACTGAAATTGCGTTTTAAAAATAATAAATACTAAAAATGTAAACAAATAATCGTAGAATGACATAACGTAAAATTATGCGTAAAAACTCATAAAAGCATAAAACATAAAAAATGGAAGACAAAAAAAAAACGCAAAAACTTTTATGTGCTTAAAGCTTTGTTTTTTTTTTTTTTGTTGAAGTTTTATGTTCACTGAAGAGTGCGTAAACACCCTTTAGAGTAACTTTGCCAGAGTCTTAGTGAAGATTAACAAATATCGATTAGTAGTGCCATAAGTAATAAGATCGTTAGTGGTCCTCTTCCAAGTCGCTTAATTATTGCGTTCACATTATGAGTTAGTTTGGGGTCCTCTTCCAAATCGCTTAAAAAAATTGTGTGGATTCTATTGTGGTGTTGACATCATGAGATAGATCTCTAATCTATTTTATGTAATATTATTAATTTTATGTATACATGAAATGATAATGAAACTGTGGAAAACAATCCAAATAGGTTTCAAGTTTAAAAATAAATGTCAAGGTTATGAACATACGTGAAAGCACAAACAAAAAATAAATTTTGTGAATAAAACATAATTAAAAACACATTTGTTTTATTCAAACTTTTTCGCACCACACGTCTTTTCCACTCATGGGACAATTTGTTCTAACTCTAGTGATCCAATGATCTCTAGCGCACGATCAGCAGTGTTAGACGTGGGTTTAAAAAATAAGGGGCGGTAAAACTGAAATTACAATATATTTGCATAAAAAATTAATGAAAAGTAAAAAATAAATAATTAAAATTGTTTTTAAGTGCTGATATTAAACATTTGGAGATTATTGTTTGATAGACAATATTATTTAATAGAAAAAATTATTTAATAGATTATTGTTTTAAATTCTAAAATTAATTTTTAAATTAACAAAAAAACATCTTCTCGTATTAGTCAATTATTCTTAATATAAAAAATTTATTAAAATAGTTACGGAGGGAAGACATCCGATATTGGCAGTCAGATAATTTCAAAAAAATTTCAAAAAATTTCAAAAAAAAGTGTTTTACATTAAAAGTGCTTAGGCTGACCAGATTTTTCCACTGTTGATCAAATAAACTTACGAAAAATATGTATGGCCCAGCATTGTCATTATGAAATACTTCACCAGATATATAAAAATTGAAGGTTAATTTGCCGATATCAGTCATACCCTCATAACTTAAAGAAAAAAAAGGATTTTATAATAAAAGTAATATAGAACGCCAGGTTTTCCCAGTGTTGTTCAAATGAGCCCATGAAAAATATGTGTGGCGCACCAACGTCATAATGATCATAATCGCTCACGCAACAGAGAAAAGATTTGTCGATATCTCTTTCTCAATCTTTAAACAAAAAAGGTTTTTTTTATAAGTTAGATGAGGGATTAAGAATGAGAGTTTTTAAATAAGTTTTTGTTATAATCCCAATAATTGCTTATACTAGAGATATAAATCGTTACATACATATACAGTTATATAATTGGTTGAAAATCAGGGCTTCAAACGAGAACCGAACGGAAAAACGTGATATTTTTGTCGGAGCGTAAGCCGGAACCAATCCGTTATATATTTTTTTGTTTTTTAACAGGAACGGTGAAAATCCAGGTTTTCTTTTAAAATGCTTTTTATATTAGTTCAATGTATTCATTGACTCAAAATTGATCTATAGGTATATGTTGGTGTAAAAACCATTTTCTATAATATTATATAATTTGTTACATTAAAGCTCACCTTTCATGCCGTTAATTCCAGTTGTATTAATTCTTTGTTGGAGTTGCTCTGTCTTCACCAATGACAAAAAAGATTTGCCAAAGAGAACTAATATTGTGATAATACTTGTCCTTTAAAGTTGGAAACACAAAAACGTAGAATAGTTTTTGTCTATTCAGTTACAGAATATATCCATTAGCATCTCTATTTTATCTAATATTACACTTCATTTGCAAAGATGGCTTAGCTGAATCTGTACTAGATTAGAATTACTTGGTGTGGTTGAGTTGCTTTACTTATGCTTTATAAGTATTGTTCTTAAGGATTATATCATAAAAGTTTTTGTTTCATCTCTACTTTTTATGTCTAGTAGATGACTAAAAATATATATAGATACTGATCAAGTGTTTATAAATTGAGTCGCAAGTAGTTAAGGTCAGGGTCTATACATAGTTAAGTATTTATTTACTGTGCGTTCTTAATATGAAAATTTCTTCTATCAGTTATGTTTCAAAAACAGTTAATGGTATTTTTAGCTATGGATGACAAAAATCACATGAAACAGATTAAAAGTCAGTGCAACTACAAGTACATGTTTGTCTGAGTAGAACTATATTATATATGGTATATGATAAATTGTTCCAGAATCATCACATTTTATTTTAATACCAGAAACTTAAATTGAAGTCGATTGAGCAATTCAAGTTATTAATAATTTATTCTGATCTGCTGAAATTAGTGCTGTTTAACTGTCATGTTGCTAACTTTGTTGCTAAGTTGCTTAGCAGCAATAAAATCGAAAGTTTTTCAAAATAATTTTTCTGATAAAATGAGTTTCTTATACAGTAAATAGTATGCATGTGTCTTAATTTATCTATCAGAAACTTCTTGTGAGTGGTTTTATTGTCATTGGCATTTTAAAATGCTAATCTCAAATCTATTTGCATAATATTTTAACTAACAAGGTCAACATACTTGATACGTATTTGTTAATAATTCACTTTAGAATATTTTGCATTTTTTTATAATACAGAAATATATAATAGCACCTTTTAAAAAAGCAGTTATTGATAGTAAGGCCATCTATTGGTAATTATAAGCGCCGATAGGGTAGATCCTTTACTGATGTAAAGTCAAAATTTCAGGACATTTGGAGGATTAGAAGACGAATTATTGCGTCTGTAAAGACACAGAAATCTTTGAATTTCTGAGATAGTAGTTTAGTATTTTAATTATCCCAAATTTGTTAAATATTAGTATTTAAGTAGTTAGAAGCATTAACTATTTATATTCTAAATCAACTCTGCCAGAGAAATCCATGTAATCATTACAGCTTCAAGAACGTTCAGGTCTACGTCCCTGAACCGCTTGTTAATGACAACCAAAAACCGTTCGATACCTCCCAAAAGGGCTTCACAGTCAGATCCCAGCAGTTTACAACAACAACATTCAATAATGACCCCCGTCATCTATTAGTCCTACTAGACTAGTAGGCCTCTTTTGCTGCAACTGTTGTCTCTGATCGAAGAAATTTCATTCATTTTTAAATAATAAGCAGATTGTCACCCCTTAAAGCATATTGAATATAAGACGTGGATTGTATTTTTTTTTCTTCGAAAGAATATGAATAAAAATCTTATCTTCTTCCAAGCAGAGACGATGTCAATTCTGACAATTCGGACAGACCTATCTTTATACAAACGAGTTAATAATTTTTCCTATTGCTAAATTATTCTTATCAACAAAATATTCAATTCAATAATGAATTATCGTTTGTATTCCATCAACTATAAAAATTAATTATGCTTATCTTTCTTGAATTATTGTACGTTAAGTGATTTTTAATATCATTCAAGTACTGTTAAGAAGTCTTTTATATATTTTTAACCATGTTCAGTGACGGCGCGAGGTTAAATAATGCACAAAGTGCAAAAATTTCCTAGCATAACAACAGGGACTTGAGGGCCCAGTGGAGCAGGGTATAGCAAACATAAAATATTTTTTGTGCTATAAATGAATAATTAAATTTTGTACGATTTTGTTGTGTTTTGACTTCGCAACTGTATTCGACCTTTCGGGTCGGAATGTCCATTAGTCCAACTGCTGTTATTCTAATGTCACTTTTATTTTCTGGTTTTCTGTTATTTGTTGGTTTTCA